GCTCCTAGAAAAGCAGAAAGTAGGAGAACTTGTGCCCATGTAGAACTTGTTGCACTTTTAACTAGGCCACTTGAATGCAACATGTATGTGGTAGAAGGTCAGTATGTATTAATCCAAATTTTTTCTAGACTTCACTAGCTATGTTGGATTAGATGTTATATCTAGGCATTTGGGAGCAATTGTCATCCACTCTGGCAGAGGTATGTACCAGCTGTAATTTCTTTCAGTGATATGTGCACAGTAGAAATGGGTAGGGTACTCAGTATGTAACTTTTTGCAGTTTGCTGGTGCAGGAGCATCAAGAACTTTTCACCTGGTAAGAGCTAGCTGGCTGTCCTTAAGATCCTTGCAGCACCTTACATCAGATGCATTATCACTACTGAAATAAATGAACAAGCTGAGACAGTTGCCTAGCTTGCAGCAAAGCAAGTTCTTAAATTATCTATTTTGTGTATCTGCACTATAACATGTTTTCATCCTTATTAATTCTTGAGTTCCTGGATTCTGTTGGTGAGGTTCTAAGACATTGTGTAGGCTGCCTTCCCTGTAGTGCTAGCAGTTGAAGCATGAGGCACAGGTATGGTTGTCAATAAACAATACAGGCCAGATATGCATCTGCGCAGATACCTCTGTGTCTTATTGGAATATATATGAATAGTTAATCTTGAAGGACCACCTTTAGTATCTTTGTCAGATATAGATAGGAGGAGGGAAACAGGGTGAATCCCTATGTCAGAAATGTGTGAAGAAAAACATTTTTGAAAGTCAAATTCATCAAGTCTACTTAGTGTTGAAGTCTCCTTCAGTCAGATTTCTTAGAATGTCATATTAAAATTTTCCAGTAAGAAGCTCTATTAGTTTGCTGTCTATAAAATCTACTTATTTTAAAAGTGTATAATGTTGTAACAGTAGATTTTCCATAATTAATTTTCAGAGTGCTCACAACCATTTTTTAGTTGTGCACCTACTATGTAAATGTTCTTTAAAATTTATAGTGAATAAAGAGCAAATTGAAGGAAATCTTCCCAGAATTCTGATATAAATTATTTTACATATGCTTCTGCTACACATGGAATGTTATTTTTATATAAGCATGGAACAGAGTAACTAGTTAAATTGGTGTTGCACATATTTTAAAAAAATAAAAAAACCTTGCAAAACCTGCAACAAAAATAATCCCCTAAACTTCAAGCATATGGCAGTAATTGTTTTTTGACTAAAGAGTGAACACTTACATCTGTAATTGTTTCTTCCTGCATGTTGCAGTTTTGACTGATTTATGGTTTAATTTATTGTTGACACTTTTAAGTACTTTGTAAAGCACATTAGTTTTTGCATGGTTTTGTGTTCTATATGTAATTTTATTTTATCTTCTGTGCAATAAAACAGTTTAACTATAACTTTAAACTATAAATCTGTAAAGAGTGAAGCAAAGAGTTTGAACTAGCCTTGAAATCCAGCTCACCCTGCAAGCTTCTTCTGGGGCAAAGTGCTTCTTTCCAACTTCAGTATTTACACTACACATTAATATAGTCTTCAGCCCTGCAGTACCCTTGATCTTCAGTAAAAAAAAAAAAGGCAGTTATAAATGAGTAGCTTACAAAGTTCAACTTAAAACTATTTTGGCTTCTTTTCACACAACTGTAGTATCATGGAAGAACTCAGACAGTGGCATGTGCTTGTCTTCCTTCTCAACCACCCCCCAAATGCACTTTTAGGAATCTGAGTTTTTTAGGATACTTTTAACTTTACATGGCAGAAGCTGAATTGCAGGGAATCAGGCTTAGTTTTACTTCCCTTTTTTTAAATTTTTTTTGCTTTAGCACATACATTGTCTTTTAGCTAGACTGATATCTTTGTATTATCTGATATTACTTGATTCTGATTGTGTACAATTATTTAATTTCTACGTTTCCTATGTTATTAAACAAGCTAGAAAAGTTAGTCTAAAGACTAAGGAAGATGGGTCTTTGTTTTATATTCATGTTTGACAGTCCATAACATTGGTATTGCTCTTTTTCACAAATGGAGGCAGCTAGATGGCTGTTAGGGCTTAGAGTTATGGTTATTCCTGGGGGGTTGGCACAGGTGGAAATCACTCCTCGGATGTGAATTCTGTGCTGCTGTCAGTCTCCCTATATAACAGGTTTTCACAAGATCTTAATTTGTTTTCAAAATAAATAATGCATTTTAAAAAGAGGGGGAAACCCCTGGAATAATATCTTGGTTTTTTATGTATTTTAAAAGGGAGGGAAGGTTAAAGCTGAATCTTGCTTTTGTTATTAGATATGGCAGAGATGATAAGCAATTTGGAAGATTTGTCCTGTTTATCAGCTTTCCACCGGATTAAAGGATATATTTGTGCCGAGCCAGCTGCAAAAGATGGTTTAAAGGTTATTTTAATTTGGTATATGAGCAGGCATCATGCCAAAACCAACAGACTACCTTAGTGGAAAGCTGTTACGCAAATATAGGCAAGATCTGTGTTAGACCAATGGAAAGCTGCCTCACTGAAATTAAGCTAGATCCTAAGAGCCCTTTAACTTGGTTTTCAGGCTCTTTTTTAAATTGCCTGGCACGTTCTGTAAGTTTTATTTGTCTATATGCCATCTCAGTCATCAGTCAAAAGCTGGACAGATTTGATACTGTAGCTACAGTGTCAACAATCATGAATGAAGCTTAATTATTTTCTTTTTTCCTCTAACTTTTCATTTACCCACCTCCAGTAACCTCAGATTCTTGTTTTTCATGGGGCAAAAGCTGACATATGCAGTGGCTGGTTTTGAGCTAAGCACATGTTGATTTTCACTAGGCCCTAGAACAGAGAACTGCTGGAGTTAACAGTTTGTTTTTTCTCTTGTTTATGTGGCTCTTTCATCCTCTCATTTTTTCACAAAAATTCAAGGAACTTCATATCCTCGAGATCTTTGGTCTGCCATACATGATTGACAAGTTGAAAGTTACCAGGAGAAAGATGGCATGGCAGAATGGTATTGTATATAGAAATGAGGCTAAACAGGCTATTTGCTCAAGCCTCTGGAGCTGGAAGAGCCAAGGTATAACTACCTTTTGGGCTTCTGACATGCTTCATAGATGGGTGAACTATGAAGAATTGTTTGTATTCTGCTAACTGTTTAGGCCTGTGACAGACTAATTGCAACACTGTTATGGTACTGTTTTTTGTTAGTAGTGTTTTTGGTGGATAGGAATTAATTAATTGATTTTAGTTAAACTCTTCTTTTTCTTCCTGAGGTCTCTCTTGTCATAGATAATGCTTTGTGAGGCCAAGAAGAGTAGAGTTGGATTTTCTCTTCAGCCTTTTCTGGTAGAAACTGAACTTGCAGAGGGTAAAGTGGAATTGCTTTTTCTGGTCTACTTCAGTTTTCCTGGCTGTGGTATTTGAATCATGTACATCTATCTTTTGCAGAAAATTAGAATTTTTGCCAGACACAGTAACAGCTGCTGCTTCTGGAAAAAAGTAGTTTTCCCAAGAGACAGAGTAGTGCATTGAGGTATTAGTCTTCTAGCAAACTTGTAAATATTTGTAAAAACTGTAAAGGTAGAAGGCTAGGAAAATAAGGTCCACAAATGTATTTTGATACATCAGCTGCTGTACGTTTCTCAGCAGCTACCAAACTGGTAAGTTTGTTTTTTTTAATTTATTGTTAGAGGTGATACTCTAGAGAGAGCAATTCCCAC